GTTCTACTGTAACCCATATATCTATATCTATACATCTGGTGCTATTCATGCACTTAGGGGCACACAAGGTTACTGGATAACAACGGCCATCCTATTTAACAAGTAGTTTGTGAGAGGCCATTGTGTGGACTACGCTGAAATTTGTGCATACATACATGTATGCACACCAATAACTCTATATAAAGCATTTATCAGGTATAAAGCATGACTGAAAAATAATGGTAAAGGTGAGTTTGAACTTCTAATTCAGATTCTTTAATAGAATCCTTGATTTTATCTTTGAAATCAAAGACTGAAGAACAAAAATCAATACAAGTATAGCCGAAATTTAATCTAAAACGTTTATCTCAAACCAAAAGCTCAATCATAAAAATAAATAAATATATGAAATAAAACTTCCATCCCTGAGGGAAATAACAAACTAAAACCCAACTCTCGGCCATGCCATCGATTCTGACTCATGGAGATCTCTGAGGAAAAGTGGACAAACCAAACACTTCCCCCACTTTCAGAAGCCACAGGTCAGGAATAACAGAAGTCTAACAACAAACATTTTTTTCCTGGACTCGGAAACCTGACACCACGGCACAACCTCACTCTTCCAGACGGGGCGTCACGGTGACAGACAGTCTAAACGGCACCCTAAAGTCTCTACTGGCACAGTGTGCGGCAGAAGGGACGTTACTAAACAAACACCCCTTGCATAGTTCAAGGTCTTCTGGGCTGAAAAAGCTTTGTTGCACTTATGTGGGCAGGCTGACATTTTCACACGAACCAACATAGATTACTTGAATTAGCTTCGATGTACTTTAGAGAAAAAGTCTGATTGTGAAGAGCTTAATCTGGAAGGCTTTATAAAAGGTAATGCTCCAAACCAAAAAGCTGAACAAGAACCAAGGAACATTTTTGAACACTAGAAAGAAGCACACCAAAATGTCCTCATCTCTACTTGAAACCCGCCCTTCATCCACATAGGTGAAATAGTTCTTCATTTAAAATGTGCCATTTCTAAATAAAATACGAATGGGAAAGTTTAAAAAGGGTGGGGGAGGGGTGCCTTGGAATTGGACAAAATGTTTCTTTGGGAAGGTAAACATTGCTCTTATCCTAAGTCACTTTATTATTAATAAATTTTTTAATTGGGTGAATGGTTATAGAGCAGATCGGGTTTCCATTTGACAATTCATACACATTTTGTTTCATCTCATTGATTGCAACCCCCATACTGTAATACAAGTTATCCAATTTTTCCTGTTCCATTCCTTCTCCATTTTCAACCCTCCCGATCTCTGTCCTTGGGTAAATGCTGCCCCTTTGACCTCAAATGGCTTATAATTCCAGGGCATGAGCACTTCCCAGGTGACACTATTCTCCTTAGAGGTCCATCTACTGGTAGGCTAACAATTGAGCCAGATCTGAAGGATGATTAAGGACTATAATGTCAGGGGTTCCAGTCTTTATCTGATCAGTAAGCCTTTGGAGTAAGTCTCTTTTATGATTTGTTTCACATTTTTTCTCCCATTCCATCTGGGACCTTCTAATATCATTTCTTTCTGAGCAGTTGGTAGTGGTAGTTGGGCATCACCTAATTCTTCTAGTCTCAGGGTCCCGGAGACTGACATGCGTGTGACTCACCAATGAACCAGGATCTTCTTTACTAGCAGCCGACTTTTACACTGAATTAAGGAATAACACAGGAAAAATTATATCCTAATTATTGTTTTTATTTTTTTATTAGTTGGGATATACTTCTAGTCCTATTTTTCATTATTTCAATCTCTTTTGTGCAAGGTATTCTGATTGCACGCTCTTTGCCAGTACCTCTGAGGGAAGCATCTTCAACTCTTAGCCCCAAGCAGAGTAAATGTTCTTATATAGTAAATTCTTAATAAACACCTGTGCAATGAATGCTATATTTGGTGGGTTACCATAAAATTCTCCTATTCTCCTTTCTTCTGCCTTCAAACCTTTATGGCTCTGTGCTAAGGAGCGTAAGGCCAAGGACCATAACTTTTTGTGTACTGTACTATTTTTGGCATTAGCTAGGCTTTCAATAAATGTTTGGAGAATGCATGGGCAGCTTATAGCACAAACTACGGAGCCCTGATGCAACAGCCATCATCAAAATGCCCTTCTGCTATTGCCAAGGGCAACAGAAGAGATGGGGAAGGTGCCAAAAACATCCCAAAGCAAATACTTGCTGATAAGCAGAGTGAACACTGGTGTAGAAAAGAAACTATAGTGAAATATTGCAAAGATGTAAGAGGATCTTTGCAAATGTTTTGATTCAATCAAGTTCCTGAATGCTGCCATCAATGAGCATGGCATATTAAAGGCATGGCAATTTGCTGCTGTTGTTATTTTTTAAAGTGTTGTTACTGAAAAGGAGTAGGGGAAAAACAAGTATGTTACTTCCTAAATTTCTGAGCTAACTGGTACTTGACTAAACTTAATCAGTGGGTCCCGGGAGCTATTCTGTAACTGTAGAAGCTGCTGTTATTTTCTAACACAATGTTTGTCAGGGCATAGGAAGTAAAGTAAGTTTTTGCGTGAATGAAGGCATGAGATAACCTTGAAAAGAACCTTCTTTATCAGCAAAAACAACAACAACAGTGAAGCTGACTCTTGGCATGGAGCCCTGGAAGTCTTTAGACTATAGAAAGGATAGTTTTCTCTCTCTGAAAATAGAATGTTTTGGGGGAAAAATAAGGAGCTGATACTAAGGGCTCAAGTAGAAAGCCAATGTTTTGAGAATGATGATGGCAACAAATGTACAAATGTGCCTGACACAATGAATGGATGCATGGATTGTGATAGGAGTTGTACGAGCCCCCAATAAAATGATTAAATAAAATTAAAACAAACAAACAAATAAAAACAGAATTTTTTATTCACAACACACACACACACACACACACAAACACACACACACACACACACACACAGAGCCATGCCACTGCATCCATTCTGACCCAGACTTCTGAAGAGGTGGGGATAATTCCCCTTCCCTTAAATTAGGCTGACCTGTAAGTGTGACCCAAAGAAGATGGTGCAGCAAAGATTATGGGATTTTCAAGGTTAGGCCCCAGCTCTCGTGACACAGTCTATGTGGGTGCTCTGAAGTATCATGTAAGAAAGAACTGACCACTTGGGGCCCACCATGCTGGAGGAGTTGTGGGTAGGTGCTCCCTGTTCGTCCAGCTCCAGTTCAGCTCAGCCTCTGGCCTTTGCCACCAAGGGGTCTGATATGTGAGTGCAGCGGTCCTCGACCCTGTAAATCAGCGGTTCTCAACCTATGGATCACGACCCCTTTGGGGGTCGCCTAAGACATATTTTCAATGGTCTTAGGAACTAAGACACCGCTCCTCTATCCATCTCCAGGCAAGTCTGCCCACAGAGGAGTACCCGGCATGAAGACTTACCCATGCTACACCATGCTTCAAGACAAAATTTCATTTATTTGTCATTAGAAATTAATATTTCACAATATATAATTACATATTGTTTTGCGGTGAATCACTATGCTTTCATTATGTTCAATTTGTCACAATGACAATACATCCTGCATATCAGATATTTACTGTATGATTGATAACAGTAGCAAAATTACTGTTATGAAGTAGCAACGAAAATAATTTTATGGTTGGGGGGTCACCACATGAGGAACTGTATTAAAGGGTTCGCGCCATTAGGAAGGTTGAGAACCAGTTCTAAATAGCACGGAGGGACCTTTTTCAATGTCTCATGGAATAGAAGACACTCTTATCAAGCCTTGCCCCATACCCACAAAATGGTGTAATGAAAGAAAAAAATAACCATAGATGTATACAGCTTTAAAATTATGTTTTAGACATGTGAAGTTTTGGGATAATTTGTTACAGCATCACAAACTTCACGTGATTTTCTTTTTTACCAGCCTCTTAACTGTGCTAACACTGCTCCCTGTGGGGCAGTTTCCATCAACAGAGTTTGGTCCAGTTTCAACCCCTCTGTTTCTCTCCTCAAAGAACTGTTAGTTTACACTCTGAATTCTCAAAGCACTAATTATTATTACTGGTAGGGAGAAATGAAAAAGAAAACCAATATAAAGCATATTGATAATATACCATTTAAAAATCTACATAATAAAAGTAAACCAAAGAACTAGGTGCAATAAGCTAATTTCAGATGGCTCAAAATCCAAGGGGTGAAAGGTCACAGGGTAGAACATAGTCCATGTAGACAAATGTTCTACCACCTACTTTGTCAGTAGCAACTGGGGTCTCAATAGCATGCCAGCGGCCCTATGTGGTGCACCTATTGGTCTCTCCTAGTCTGGAGGAAAGAATGTGATGAAGATCAAAGATACACAAAAATAACCCAATGAAGGAATGGACCGCGGGAACATTAGTCCCCATTACATCCAGACCAGGAGAACTAGATGATGCTAGTACTATCTGCCCTGAAAAGGATCACATTAAAAGAGAGGTATGTGAAACAAAATTCAAAATTATAAGAGTAGAGACTGATAGTTAGAACCCCAAAGACTATGGGCTCTAAACACTCTTCAGGAAATGAATTAACCCCATGTTCTCTTTTCAGTCAAAAACAGACAGGTCTATAAGGAGACCAGTGAAGCTAGTGAGATAATTACTAGCTTCACTGTAAGCGCAGCATTTACCCAAAGACAAAGTTCGACGTGTCAGGAAAGTAGGAATGGAGACAGGAAACACAAGGAGGAAGTGGGCTAAGTGATGTTACATGTGGGGCTGCAATCAGTGAGCTGCCGAAACTTGTATGAATTGTTGAATATAAAACTAATAATGTGCTCCGTAAACATTCACTTAATGTGCAGTAAGAAGTTAAACAAACAACTACATAAAAAAACCACCAGGTAGTGATGGTGCCCCGAACTATCAATTGATCCTTTTGACAAAAATTCTGCAAAGTGAGTTTTGTGTGGAAAGAATTAAAATTCTATTTTGAATTGTGTGTTTAGCCAGGAAGCAAATCCTGTTTACCTGCAAATCAATATTGTTGTCAATACACCGTTCATTCTTCTCTGCCAAAATCTTCCTACAGTTTTCTGACTTGATAAGATTTTCAACTTTGGTTTTATCTTTCACTTCTGCCTCCAAATTCTTCATTGTTTCAGATTCACCTTTTATAGTAACAGTATCAGACATCCTCATTAGTAAAGGTTATTATGGAATTCTACAGGGAACGTGAAGCCTTAACAAGAAAGAGGAAAAGGGAATTAATCCAGTTTGAAACCTATCTTCCACTTATTCACTGCACAATATTAACAGAGCAAGTACATTCTATGGTCCAGGAATACTGTTACATACACATAGACTGAAGCAACATCCCTGCTCGCAAGGATTTTACAGTTCTAGGGGTACAGACATCCCAATGAAAACCATTACAACAAAATGAGAAGAGATAAAATCAGGGTGTGTGGGGATTTTAATATACACAGTAATCGTTAAATTTTATAAGAAACATTAATAAATGAGACAGCTAAAGATGACAGACAAAGGTTGGAGAATTATTCATGTAGATTTAGATAACAATGGAATTCTTTTACTCAAAAATGATGTGATATAGAAAAAAGGTGCATGGCTCTATACAAAATATTCTTGTGAACTTAGGTTAACAACTTTGCTTGGCAATATGAGTAAAGCAATGGAAATTTCTGGTACATAAATCAGTGTCAGACGATATGCTCTACCAGAGGATCTATGAGTAGAATCTACGTGACTTCAAATACATAAGATATTAACATATTTCATTGCAATGGTTTGTTTAAGAAAAGTACTATGTCCTTTATATCAAGTATATACATACTTGAAATCAAGTATAAACATAGCAGAGATTAAGCCTAAAGGCAGTTGTCATTTTAGGACAGTGGTTCTCACAGGGGTCACCCAATTCATAACAGTAGCAAAATTACAGTTATGAAGCAGCAATGAAAATAATTTTATGGTTGGGGGTCACCACAACATGAGGAACTATATTAAAGGGTTGCAGCTTTAGGAAGGTTGAGAACCACTTTCTTAGGAGAACTGTGTTGATTTCAATAATTTATTTTAAATTACATGAAAAATAGATGGACAGATGGATGGCGGGAGATTCAGAGATGGACAAAGCAAGTGTAGTAAGATATTAATAGTTAAATCTAGGGGCATTCGTGACAAAATTATTTGAAGTTTTCTATAACTGTAATGTCATTTAATAAAATGCACAAGGGATAACGCAACACTTCTTTTCATAAAAATATATTTTGCAATTAAACTTCTAAATAGATTTCAAGGAATCAAAAATATATTTGAGAAGTAAAAGAAAATAGATAAAGCTTTCAACAGATTCTAGAGCCAGAAGCAATTTAAATCGCTAATAAACATGTTTATCTTAAATAGATACCATACCAAAGATAATTAATTCACTGTGAAAACAGTATTAGTTGCAAATGTAGGGAAGGGAGGCATATGATACATTGGCTCCTTGCTTTTTATATGTAAACTTGGTGGGGGATGAGGGACATTCTTCTTAAATGACTTGAGGAGAATCTTACCTGATGTGTTCTATGGAGTCGGGGATGTGGTGTCCCACAAAAATAAAATAAAATAATCCCAGGTTCTTTTCCACGGGTGTCAACCAGGATGTCAACGGTACTGAACCATCTGGAATCTGGCAGGAGGAGTCCCATGTCCTTGTTACCACTGGAGAGTCCTGGACTAAAACGGACTGTTTTGAATCACATATATCATCCCTCTTAGTGGCCTAAAATTACAATAAAACAAAATGTTCAAAGAATTACTTGAGGAAAATGAGACAATCATCAAGATTCAGAAATTAAACAAACCACGATGAGTGATTTTATTTTCTAGTCCTAGTTAAGTCAGAACATTTAGCTACAATTAATCTGAGTCTACTACTTCTCTGAGCTTCAATAAATCAACTGAAGCCCAGAGAGTTAACTAGTCGAAGCTGAAAGGAGAGGGAGATGGTATCCAATGAGGAATGAGTATACAGTACAGTGAGCGTTGTGAGGGAGCCATTACCTTCATTTTATTGTTAAAGAAAAATAAGGTCTGTCCAAGAGCACAACCAGGAATTATGATGCCAAGAACAATGATTTTTTTTTCCCCTGCACCAGTGAGAGTGGGTCGGCCTGGCCCTCCTGGTCCCTGGGCCTTCGGACAGGCCAAGAACAATGATTTATAATGTTTTCTTTTGAAGCTACAATTGCATGGATTTAAGAGAAGCCAGTGAGATGCCAGTGTGATTTGTGCTTGGCGACTGAACTAGTGGTTGGTAGTTCAAATCCATTCAGGAGTGCTGTGAAAAAAAAAAAAGGCTGGTGATTTACTTCCATCATGATTCTAGCCAAGCCAACCCTACAGAGACAGCGACTGGACCAATGGTTTCTGGGGGGCATGAGAGGGGGGAGCGGGAGTCAATAATGATGGGTACAAGAGAATAGTCAATGCTCTAAAATTAGCGGCGAGGAGTATGTAACTTTTCTCGATGTATTTGAACAACTGAATTGTATCTGAGAGTAATTAATGAAATGTGAATAATGGGAAAGCATAACTGTGGGGTAGAAGGGGAAACCCTCCCCCAAATATTTACATATATATGTAAGTATGAATGTATGTAACGAGGAAACAGATGGACTTTGGGCTTCTATTTAAATTCTGCTTCAGTACAAGAATGGTTTGTTCTAATAATGTGACAATGTATGACATGATCACCTTCCTGCCATGATCATCGGAGACAAAATAGGTGCATAAGCAAATGTGGTGAAGAAAGCTGATGGTGCCCTGCTATCAAAAGATAGTGTTTGGGGTCTTAAATGCTTGTAATTAAAACCGCAGTCATCTAGCAGCGAAGCAACAAAGCCCACATGCAAGAATCACCAGCCTATGAACCTGTGTAATCATGAGATGTTGACGGCAAGTGGTATCAAAAGTTCAAAAACATACAACCAACTCGATGTGAAGGGATGTGGATGCAATTGAGACCCCAAACCCACCTGTAAGATAATTGGATAGTCCCTTCTCAGAAGGGCCACATGGAAAGGATGATAAATCCAGGGTGAGGATTGGCACTGATGAGTCACATAATTATCTGCTAGTTAAAAAAATTTTTTTCCCTCCCCTTATTATTAAGGCTACATTTTGTTTTACCTCATTAATCATGTTATATTTGTGCGTGTTCATTAGTATATTTAAGATTGTCTGGTACATGAAAGCCAAGACAGATAACCCTCCAGAAACAGGAGTACTGTAATGGTTCCCTGAGAGTACAAAAAGGCAGGGGTGGGGGTGGCTTGGGTGTGTGTGTGTGTGTGTTATAGGGAGCCAATGATTGTATAACTCCACTTGATGGGAATGAACAGAATTGTATGTGAATGGATATATTGGACTGTGTAAGATGTCAATAAGACAATTATAATGAGAAGTTAAATAAAAAAAATGCATTAAGTGATTAAAGGGGAAAAAAAAGATTCCAGCTAAGAAAACATTATGGAGATGTTCTACTCCAACACACAAAGGGGTCACTATGACTTGGCTTCAACTAAATGACATTTTTTTCCCCTAATGAAATCATTATTTTTCTATCAAAAATAAAACAGCTACAATTCCCAAAGAAAATAAACAGCTGTACAATGTAATACAAATATGTAGCAAAATAAAAAGTGACATGAATTTAAGCAATTGATCACTTTAACACAATTATGATTTTTATTAATCATTTTATTGGGAGGATCTTAGAAATCTTATGACTATCCCACCATTCAACTGTATTAAGCACATTTGTACATATGTTGCCATCAACATTCCAAAACATTCTCTTTCTACTTGAGGACTTGGTATCAGCTCCTCTTTTTCCCTTTACCTCCCCCACCCTCCCACCCCTGTGAATCCTTGATTAATGATATATTATTGTTATTTCCTGTCTTACACTTTCTGTTGTCTCCCATCACCCATATTTCTGTTATTCAACCCCTGGGGGGATCTATAATCTAACCTTATGATGGGGTCCCCCTTTTCTCTCCCCCCTCCCCCTCCCCAGATAATATTGCTACTCCCACTACTGTTCCTGAGGGTTTTATCTGTCCTGAATTCCATGTGTCGAGAGCTCTTATCTGTAGCCATGTGTGCATTCCAGTCTGGTCACATTTGTAAGGTAGAAATGGGTCATGGTAGTGGGGGTGTGGGGGGTGGAGGCAGCATTCAGGAACTAGAGGAATGATGTGTGCTACATCTGTGCTATACTGCACCCTTCCTTGTAACCCTTCTGTGTGTGTGGGGTGTCCAATTGGACATTGTTTTTTTGGTTGCTGTTTTTTTGTTTGTAATTTTGAACAATCATACTCTAGATTAGAACAATAAGCTGCAATAAGCCATTTAACATTTTCAAAGAAATTCACTGTCTGTTAAAAGCAAATATCTGTAAATAGTATAGAATGACTATTTTAAGTGACATAAAAAAATGCCAGAATTGTCTTTTTATTTTCCCCTATTTTTTTTAATAGGGGATAGCGCGAACGCACCTATTATACTAGGGCCAGTCAAAAAGTATAGCTAGTAGACTCCAGTTCATATATGCATGTGGTCATTCCAAATAAAACTCATTCAAATATGTCTCTGATCAGCAGATGGATGCAGACAAGTTCTCTCAGTTATACACTTGTCTTAGTCTCATCTGATTAAGGTGCCTTTGGGGAAAAAAAAATCTGTTCTTAACAGTACCTTCCAAAAGAATCTGCTGGGCCAGTGAAATTCAAAGTAGAAAGGGCAGCTCTGAAGGTTATAGCAACTGGGTTTTGGGGGGACATTCCACAGCAATCATTGACCTACTAGGTTTACTGGAAAGGCACAGGTTGACTACAGGGGGTTAGGAGGAATTCGGGTTTTTTTTGTTTTTGTTTGAGAAGGAATGAATTTTAAGAAAAGAGAAAACTGCATTTGGTGAGAGAAAGTCCAGGAAGGGTATGCTGTGTAGTATTTTCTCTTCCTTCTTAGAGCGCAGCCAGGGTTATATCCTACAAACATCTCATTGGGAAACCTTACCCCATCCACTCTACAGCTCTCCTCTTGTTCCTTCAGATTTCTTTTTATTCCCCAAACTCCAAGAACATTGAAAAGAACATGATTTGAGTCCCCCGTGGAGGCCCCAAACTGCCATTCTGCTGTGGTGTAGTGTAAGCTGAAGGGCACAGAACTCTTGGAAAAAGGTTTAGAGAGAGGCATAGAAGTGGATGGGGCTAGGTGGAGGAGATGTCAAGAAACAATAAGACATTTTGATATTAAAGAGTGGTGTCTATGACTTTTTAACACTACTTTTTGATTTGCATATTTTATTGGGTGCAAGCGAATACCTCATAGCCAGTAAACAACTCTTAAAAAACCCAAACTACAGTATATAGCTTTTCTATCTTCTGTGGACAATTCTGGTGTCACTAAACAGAATCAGATAAATCCAAGGGGCAACACTGTGATCAGATGTAAGCATCAAGAGGTATAATAGTAATATTGTGGAGCAGGCAGAGCTCCTCAAAGCACAATGTTTGCACTTAAACAGAATCATTGAGAGCCTGGTATATCATCACAGTTGTTTTCAATCTTCCATGTTTCTATGTTTAGCTAAAAGAACAGAGAAAGACAAGTATCATAAACGAAGGCCTAGTTTTTTAAAGTGACACTCTGCTACGTCAATCTAATCAAAGTGATCTGCCACCTAAATCATCAAATGACTGGATTAAAAAAAATCTATGTAACAGTCAAACAAAAAAGTCGTTCAACATAATTTCCATCAACTATCAAATGGTAAACACACGATGACAGCCCTCATCAAGTACTGATTTTTTTTGTTATCAAAGGCATACTATACTTTTTGTAAAACAAACCAATGATTTAATCATGAATTGAAAGCGTGAAGTCTGAAAAGCAGCGGAATCATAATTTAAGTAATGAATAAGGTACTGCTAAGGCAATGACAGCAGTGGGCAAAGAAGAAAGGGCACAATCTGAGGAAGTGAAGGCCTTAGAGTTTGGAAGAGAATCAAGTAGAACCTCACAAGACCTTAGAGACAACCTAGTTCAACCTCATAATTCAGCACGCAAGTTATTAGAGCAGAGCCCCAAGGTCAAATGGCTTGTCCAAAGTCATACACCCAATCTGTAGCAGTAGAGATACTTGCTAACACATCATATTACTTGAACACAGACTAAAGGATTTTTTTTTAACTTAAAATGACAGGTTATTGCCTGAGGAAAAGGTCATGTGTTTGAGAGGAACAAGGGCACTGGCATTAGACATTTGACGGGGTTTAAGATTTAGCTCTGCCAGTTGTGACTGGTTGGTTGCAGAGTCTCACAGATTTCTGATCTGGAAAGAGGAGAAAGGTAAAGGAGCCAGCATGGCCTTTCTCCCAGTCGAGGCACTCTGAAACCGTTAGCTCTCTCCTTGGCAGACCACTCTAGGTCCCAGGTTCACCCTCTGCATGACAGTGGGTGGGGAGAAGTCCCATCCTTGAGTGCAGCAGCCTGGCATTTCTTCAGCCTTTCAACACCCATGCCCTACAGAGCGCCTATAGGAGAGTCAGGCCCAACATTTGCATGCGTGTGTGCAGGGGCTAAGGGGACGTGCTTACCTCAAGAGCCTCCATTCGAAGCTTCTAATTTTATATTAAAAGCTCACACAAATTTCATCCTTTTCCAAAACACTACAGTGTTTAAGTAAAATCATTTTTCCTATCAAAATCTTCAAGT